AATTGTTTGTTTAGATTAGTTTTATTAATTTATAATTTTATAGTTAATTATAAAATTTAAAAATATTAATTTATAAATTAATTTTAATATATTAAATAATAAATATAAATTAATTAATTTATAAATAATTACAATCATCAATTATTTTTAATAATCACACAATGTCTTTTAAGGGCTTTAACAAAAGTCGGGTAGGAATCGAAATCCCAAATTCCCAATCAGTATTTTCTTAAGCCGATCGCATTCTTCCTGTTTGCACCAAAAAAAAAAAAAAAAGCCGATCACATTCATGCAAATTTGTTGGACTTTGATTGGTAAGGAATTGGGCCATCTGAATCTTTAAGAAGAATTTATTAAGCCATCACTGTTGCACTTTTCTTTGTGTAGGGATTGGGCCGTTTGAGTATTACAAGAATTAGGGCCCAGACATTTCGCTACCAAGTCGTGGACTGGACCGCAACTCATAGCATTACTCAAAAGAACACGAACCTACAATGACAGCAAATTAGCATTCGCCGTCTGTGGGAATCGAACCCACGACCACGTGGTTAAAAGCCACGCGCTCTACCGGCTGAGCTAAGACGGCTTGGTTGAGTAGCTTCGCTTAATAATTACTTAAAAACGTTTTAAATCTGTTGTTATAATTGAAAAATGTCCTTATGGTTGAATGACTATCTCATTTTTATAAAAGATTTCTCATATTAAATTTAGAAATGTGAGTATATGAGATTCAAATCCCACATCGAATGTTAAAAAAAAATTCTATTGTTAATTTGTTATAATTGTGAGGATAAAGGATTGGTGAAAGTACATGTTGCATATTACATTTTCACCCCTTTATACAACTAATTAGACTAAGGCATATTTATAAACCAGGGAGAGAGAAATGAATCACTTTCAGAATTAAAGCAATTAATTTTTTTTTATCTTGGTTATACAATGAGAGACAATCATTTCATATTCCTTATCTCACTCCACTTGCCTGTTATGCGACTCAAACTCAAGATATCTCATTTTTAATAAAAAAAGATAACCACTAAATTATTTAAAAACAATTAATTGTTTAAAACCAAATTCCTACATGGAATTTTGAGAAGATAATGACATGTGAACAACTTTTTTTATATAATTTTTTAAATTTAATTTTTATCTCACCCCACCTGCACGTTATGCAACTCAAATTCAAGATTTTTTATTCCCAACAGAATGAGATACTATTGAATTATTTAAAAACAATTAATTGTTTAAAACCATGTTCCTACATGAAATTGTGAGAAGATAATGACATGTGAACAACTTTTTTTGTATAATTTTTTAAATTTAATTTATATATATATAAAATATCACATGCTATAATAGAGTAAAAAAACTTATCATTAGATAGCATGTAAAGTAGTATGAAATACTTGTAAATTAAAAAGAAATTAATCGCAATCATTTTCCAATTTGAAACCCATATGAATACAATAAAGGTTAAGTGTGTTTCCCACTCGTTTCAAAGTCAGAATAAACCTGAGATTTTTTACATTTGAATTGATTGAAAAGTTTTAAAATCCTCATTTTCTTTTACATTTGCCTTCGGAGTTGGGAGTCGGAACTTGAATTAATTGAAAAGGATTTGGAGATTCGTTATTTCCCCTATATATACAGCACCACTTTACCCTAACAAGGGACAGAAAGACAAACCCATTCCCTCTCTCTCTCTCCGATCGTCGCTGCAACTGCAATGTCCGGCGTTTGGATATTTGACAAGAACGGCGTCGCTCGGTTGATATCCAACCCAACCAGAGAAGCATTCGAACAAAGAGAGCCACCATACCCCGGCACAGCCACGGCACCAGGGGCCAGACCGCGGGTCCTGGTATACCTTCCGGCCAACCAAGTGATTCGGTCCTACTCAGAACTGGAGCAGCGACTGGGCGAGCTAGGGTGGACTCGATATCACAACTCGAACCAGCCTGAGCTTCTTCAGTTTCACAAGTCAGAGAACTCAGCCCACCTCCTATCGCTCCCCAAAGACTTCTCCAACTTTAGGCCGCTGCATATGTACGATATCGTGGTCAAGAATCGTACTTTCTTTCAAGTTCGTGATGGCGCCTCGGTGGAATAATATAATACAACTCCATTATATTTAATTTCATCGTCAAAATCCACTACACATAAAAGCATATCAAGTTAAAGGGCCTCATCAGAACTTCATGGTGTTAAAAAAAAAAAAAAAAGCTGCTTATCAGTTTGTAATTTTGCATGCAGTCGATCTGTCTGTCCTGTCATTGTTTTTAATTTTAAAAAGGATGTAATATTATTTAGTTTGAATTCGAACAAGGATTCAATGTTAAATTACATTTTAATTTACATTACTATGTCATATATATATATATATATAACTTTATTCGTTTAACGATTAGTTGTTTTAAATTAACTTTTTAACTAAAAAAATTATACAAATTTAATATAGCATATATGTTAATTGGTTTTTTACCAAGTAATAAAATTACTAAATAAGATGTATATATAAGGAAAAAAAATTTCAATTAAAATTTATTTGTTATGTTAAATTTTCATTTTAATTTTTATCTTAAAAGTTAAATTAAAATTACTATTGTTGAAACAGAGGGAGTATTAGCTAGAAATTTACGTAATTTTAGTAAGTATGGATAGACCATATAAATGGTTTGTGTTTATTTTTATTTTCAAAGACATTCTCGAGTGGAGTACTATATATAATAAATAATAGTAATAAACATTCATCCCTAATAATATTTATAAAATGTGCAGTTTATACATAATCGATTACAATATAGCTTTCTAATTAATTAGTATGATATTGAATAGAGATGGGCCGAAAAATTCACTATTGAAAAAAAAAATTAAAACCAATAAAATCATAAGTGACAGGTAGGGTTTGCTTAGATTTGTTTAATTAAAAATCAAATCAAACGAATTTTAAATGGTTTAGATTTTGATTATTAAATCTAAAAATTGAAAAACCAATAATTATGATGAGTATAATTTTCTAGCAAAAACAGCTTATATATAAAATTTTAAAAAAATTTCTAGCCACTTTTTACTAAATTATTTATTTTAGGTAATTGTTAATTTTTTAGTGATTAAAATTAATAAAATAATAATTAAAAATGATATTTAAAATAAAAATAATTTTTAAATTAAAATAAAAAACTCTATATGATTATTCTAAAAAATATAATCAAAACTAATGAACTTTGTTTATCTCAATTTAATTAATAATTATTAAAATTTAAAATTTTAATTAATTAATAATTCAGTTCCAATTATAACTGAAATTGAATCATGGCCACCACTAATATTGAAGTTGAAGATGAGTAATTGACAAGCGAGTGGCGGCAGGGGATGAGGACGATGAAGATGATGAGTGCAAAAGCTGAGGTGTCTCAGTCCATGCAGCCCTAGCTGGTTTACTGTGTATATGTACTATGTACTATTTCACTTACACAGACCTCAGAGTTAATTATTGCGGCTCCATGCATATGTAGCTAGGAGCTAGCTAATAGCTTAAGTTGTAGGCCTTCAGAATCGTACTCACGAGAGAAGTGAAACTGTGGTAGTCCCATGTGCTGTTTGTGCATGCAGGTTTATGGTCTCGTGATCGTCATATAGATGTTGCACGCCCAAACAAAAGCTTAGACATAATATTTTTTTGAAAATAAGCTTATACATAATCACGGTTGTCTGTGGTTGTTTGCAGTTTGGATAAATTGGTTTTTAGTTTTTTTATTTAATTTAATTACATTAAAAAGTATCAAATTAATTCAATTCAATAAATATATTACAATTAAACCAATTCAATCATTATTGGATTGGATTGGAACCTTCTCTCTCTACTATGGAACTCTCCAGTTTCTGATTACAACCTCTCACAGTTTCAATCTCTTTTTGGTGTTCCAAAGTCTTTTGGCTTCTTGAGCTTTTGATGTGCATGGTGGAGTCGATCAACCATGCTCCTACGTCCGATAACCACTTTGGGTGGTCTATCGGCTTCTGTTGTATTTTTTTTTGTGGTCTTTGTTTTCTTTTCTTTTTGTTACTTATTTTTTGTTTTGTTTTACTCAGATCTGGTGGCCAACAAGCCAATAATGAAGAATTTGGGGGAGGGCTGCCACTTATTTTAATCTCCCAGCCACGGCATCCTGGAGAATGGGTATGAACTCTACAAAAGTAGATTGAAGGATGTCCAACTATTTTGGAACGCTCGACCAAAGGTTGTTTTCTTAGAGATTGTTCGTGTGATTTATAGTCATCATCCTTCTTTAAATTTGTCTTTGAACTTGATCTGCTCTTGATTTTATCTCCAGTTATGCTCTCTTTTTTCATTTGTTCTTATCAATGACAAGAATTTTATGTAGATGCCGTATGGTTTTGGTTAAATTCTCCAATTTCTGTTGTGTTAAAAAAAATCATTATTGGATTGGATTAGATTGATCAATATTGTTTAAAACAAAATTATTTCTAAGGGTTTGATTATATTATGTACTTGTTTTTTTTTTTGTAAATTTTAATTATACAAAAACAAAAGCCTGAGTTAATTGTGTAAAATATACAACTATACCTTTTCTTAAAAAAAAAAAAATCAAATACACTTTTCTAAAAATGTTCAGAAAAAAAATCACAACCAACAGAGAAAATAATCTTTATTCTTTTTTTAATCAACAAAAATAATCTTCATTCTCTAGTTGTTGCTGCCCAACTTATGGTTGATTGTGCACTTGTGTAATGAATAACGAGGTATTTACAATACTGTTATATATTCTGATCAACTTATATGAACTTAAAGTAATTATATATTTTAAAAGAAATTCCAAGTATTTGTAGGAATCTGAAAACAATATTAACAGAAATTGGCAATACTTAGAAGATTAAATCAAGATAAGGGCATAGTAGATGAATATAAAATATTTATCTATAAATCTTAATGAACATAAGAAGAAAGAGATTAATGGCCTTAAAGTTTGAATATGGATTTCAAAGGCAATAAGCTAGCGATTTAAGGCAATTGATACTGTTACAACATATAAGAAACGGGAAAGATTATTATTATTTTTTGATTAATTCTTTTAAAATCTGATTATCAATTTGATTCAGTTTTCTTATAACAAAACTAATTTAATTGATTTTTAATTTTTTTTAGGCGATGCTATAGAGATAATTTTTTAATACTATTTTTGGATACAACTTTTACAAGATATTAAATGAATAGATGTATTTAATATTATGAGTCTCATATGAATTAAAATAATTAATCATTTAAATGACACATCAAGTTGTTTTAAAATCATTTTTTAGTTTTTTTTATCCAAATTAATCCAATTAAATAAAAATCTTAATCAATTTTAAATTGAATTAGATTATATTAATCCAGATTAATCAAACTAGTTTGAATATGAATACCCCCATACATAAACATAATGGAGCATATAGCTCTCCTTCCACCAAACACATTAATTTTCTACGATGTGATCAATCGTTGTCTCGTATGGATATGGCTTACTGTAATTAATGATTTCAAGATAATTATAAGATAAAATCATCCGCCCAGTATTAGTTGGCCTAATGACCACCCCCTTTAAGGTGATCTCCACTTTGCTCCTCAAAGGAGGAGCGCGACCCACTGGTGATGTTCTATCCTATAACTCATTTTAAAAGTATCTTATGGTACACAAATTTTTTAATCTCTTATTTTTATTGGAATAAGGTTAATTACATTAAAAGCTAAAATTTCTATTTGTATCATTGATATTATCATTTCTTATAGTCACCATTCTTTAGAATATGCACTTTGAATCAACACTTTTTATAACTTAACATTCGTAAAAATTTAAAATTAATTAATGACCAACTCACATACAAGGTAAAGTACAAATAAGAGGGTTCAAATAGTTGCTTTTGAATTTTTTATGAGTTTTAAATTTTGAAGAGTATTAATTAAGAGTCAAAATTTTAAAAAATATTAATAATAAAAAATAATAATATTTAAAGTATAAATAAGAGATTTAATTTATATTAAATTTAAGTAGTTGACAAATATTCCTCAAAAAAAGTAGTTGACAAATAAACTTAATTTTAATTGATTAGTTTTAGTTGAGAGACAATAAAGAAATTAAATCCAATGCATACATGCCACCTCACATGGAAGCACTATAGTAGCTTTGATATAGGCCAGATGGCCAGTAACAAAGCGACGACACTTGAAAGCTACTGCTCTTACATGTAATGTCTTGTCTGCGTATACTTTCATTCCACCAACGTGACAAAGGGAAGCCCACTTGATTTATTACTTTCGGTTCGTGCCTTGAAGTGATATTCCCTGGGGAGTGTCCTTAGTCTAGAATCTAGATGTTTGTAAAATTTGATTGTGACCCGATTTGGAATGTCCCAAGTCCAAGTCAATTCGTGCATCAACACTTCACTAAGCTCCATCTGCATGTTACAAATCATCACTCATGTCTTGTGACTGATCCATACACGTACAATTTCATCACTTGTGTCTTGTACGTGTTGGTAGGCTGCACGCAACAAGTGCCATGGTGCATATTATGATTCAAGTTCTTGTAATGACATTCCTCTTCTCCCCAATTTTCTCCCTTTGTTTTTATTTTTTTGAAACTAATTATTGTTAAAAAAATATATTAAATAAAGATAACACATGTAGTGAACAGTTGGATGGAGTTGGACGTTTCATGAACGGTGGTGGTGATGAGGCGTGTCAGAGGTAGGCTGCGACGTCGTACAGATAATTCAGGATGCCCAGTCAACCTTTGACCTACTATGGCGTGGCCCCCCACCTATATTCTGATTTCCTAGATGATTATTGGTTACAGCTAGCTATGTCGTTTTTTTTAACATGTACTCCATCGCTCAATGGTCATCCATCACATGTGACTCACCCTGCACCCCTGATTTCTATGTGTTATAATAACAGAATCACAATCCCACTCCCATCATTCTCCTTTCTCCATCCCAATTTCACTTTCACAAGTGCAAATTTTTTATGCACATGTATAAGAGAAAGTACCACAACATTTTAACTTTTGAATTATAAAATATTAAAAATTAAATAAAAAAATGATACCCATTTTCTTATTTTTTGTGGAAGT